TTCGAGTGCCAAGCTCGAGCGTCCAAGAGTAAGCCCTAGCCTCAAGGGACTTGGGATTGGCCGTAGGGATTCCCGAGCCCAAGTACCGGGATCTTGGTCGCATGAATTGGGATTTCTCTTACCCAGACTAGGAACCTAAGCCCGTGCTTAGGTTAAGGACTGGATAAATTTACCAACAAGAAAAAAAGATTAGCCTTTTGGGCCTAATTCCCTTAAAAAGTACCAAATTTAGGTCACGTTCTAATTATGACCCAAACTATTTCTTTGTCTCATGAAAGACACGAACTTTAACTCGTGTCTCAAATCTAGTCCAAACTTTTTTTGTCACATAAAAAGGCACAAACGTTCGGTCAGTGCCCAAATCTAGCCCCGACCAAGCTTTTGTCCAATGAATGCTATAAAAAAATTCGACATGTCATTCCACGTGTACTAAGCGGAAATTTGATGGTAACGTGACAGGGCCAGATTTATGTACCGACCGAAAGTTTGTGCCTTTTCATGAGAGAAAGAAAAGTTTGGGCCAAAACTAAGGCCTGATCAAAAGTATATGCTTTTTAACGAGACTAAAAAGGAGTTTATGCGAGAAGTGAGATTCGACCTTAAGTAAATCTTTCTTTATGAAACAAAACAAAAATTGGACGGAATTGAGGCTCGAATAAAGTTAGTGTTTTTTTAAATGAATTAGGGAAAAAGATTTAGGTATCATCCGGTGGGTTATGGACTAACCTAACAGATGAAAGTTATAGTTCCATTGCGTGCCGCCTGAAAATCAGGCTCTCAAGCTTCTCCACCACCAATCATGGAGGATTCGAGCTCAATCTCTATTGAATCGGCTTGTACACATTCATATTTTGATGTGTTACTTCGATTTGGTACCCCCGCCCGCACCCTTGAACTAAGCATGCACGACATGATAATGTGGAATATCAGAAGTTTCTCTTGTTTGATTGGAATTCAAGCAGCCTCACTCATAACCATCGCAAACAGAGTTGAGGATTATTACACCATTATGTTTTATGGGTTCTTTGTCTGTCCACATGGAAGGGTTAGTATTCATATGTGATATCCATAGAGGAAAATTGTCCAAAATGTGTTGCTTTTTTTAATTTTGTTAATTTAGTCATAAACCTATTGACGATTTTGCAATACGGTCTTTCAGGCCAATTTTAGCCGAAAATCGATGACGTTCACGATTTTTGCAATTTTTTAAGATTTTCTGAATTTTTTCCTTTTCTTTTCTTTCATTTTTCTTTTTTCCCTTTTTCTTTCTATTTCCTTGCGCCGTCGCCAAGGCTCGGCAAGGTCGCCGGAGGCAAAGAAAAGGAAAAAAAGAAAAATTTAGAACATTTGCAAAAATCATCCACGTCAGCTCCGGTTGTCCTACACATCGGCCATGCAATGTAGGACGACCGACGTCCATGTCAGTAATTTCAAGTCAAAATTGAAGAGCTACATTGACAAATCGTCAAAAGGTTTAGAATTAATTTGGCCAAATTAAAAATTTTATGACTGAATTGGCCTCTATATAAAAGGTTTAAAACTTTTTGGATAATTATCTCCATATTAATATATCCGTAGTGAAAACTTAAAATTTCAAATCATATGGCATATGTCGTAATAATAGTAATGTTTAAAAATAGGTTCCATCCATCCGCAATAAACCAAAGAAAATCCTTAATATATTTCCAAGTGAGCTAATGGAGGGAAAGCGACATACTTGAGATTGAGAAGTAAGCATATCAATTCATCAAAGGATCCAAATAATCTGCCTTAAAACTTCAAAGCAGAAAATCCATGATTCGATTAATATAACGATCCTAATCCTTACATTACACGCTACTTCCCAATCCAACTTAAACAGAAGCTTTCATACATTTATAGATAGTAAAAAAGGTGCTTGGCAAATACATATGATCCACTATAATGCGTTGCTAACCGTTGCAAGGACCTTTCATTCTTTATAACTTGGCTCTGTGCTTCAATCGTTCGAGTCAGAGACGTCCTACAATAACATTATGATAAAAAAGAAGATGTTTATATCAGCTTTTTTTTTTTTTGGAAATTCATAGTACACTAATACACACGAGAAACATTTAGGTACTCTCGTAGCGTAATCCTTATCCACCCAAAGCCAATCACCACATATGATAAACCTCCTCATTTTGATATATATTGATATGACGTGGCTTCTCACGTGGCAATTGATTGGGGCGGACGAGAACGTCGTCTTTCGAGAGCAATTATAAATATCTCTTGATATAGTCAGTTTTGAGAGGAAGCGAGTACTCACTACATCCAGGGCCCTGGCTTGGGTTGTTCCCGCTCACAAAACCTGCAACATGCATCATTTGCTAAATTTTACTAAACCCCGTTCGCAAACTCATCAATGCTATTAAAGTACTATATATCATAATACCCTTTTTGATTTGATGTTTTGAAAAAGGGAAATATACTTCAAACCGCTACGATTCAGATATCTCGATTCGAGCAAAACGAACTATCGAACTGAACTCACATATATACACGGTACGCAACGTGAACTGCACAACTGATGTTGGATTACGCATCTACGTCTTATGTATACAATGGATAAGCTTAAAAGACAGAAGAAAAAGATAAGGGAGGAAGACTGACCACTGCACGACAGACGCCGTGGGCCTCGTGCGAGCAGTTGAAGGGTCATGAAGATGAGGAGAAAGCACAAGATTCTGATAAGAGAGGAGGAGGAGGAGGAGGAGGGAGATAAAAGCAGTCGTGCCATTTGCAGCTTGAGTTCCTCGATGCGCTTGTCTTCTTTACGTCTCTCTATATATAGGCACCACCAGATCATTCATCATACACTATATAAAGAACAGCGTCGTACTTAATTACTTGTGCTGCTACAACTGTGACGACTTGGTCGACCACTGCATGCGTAAGAGCCGTGCCTGAGGAGTGAATCCCACCGAGTCCTCTCCCATCAGTTTCGTCCCGTTCAAACTCGGGCTGCCTTTTCCGACCAAAAAAAAGAAAACAACACATTGACTACATGTATCACGAAAATGATCATTTATATCGATGCATCGACAATTATACTATCTGTTTATTCAGTTGTTTAAGAGTGTTCCGAGGTGTTCCTGAACAAGATTAGGAAGAGGGGCTGACTTTCTATGGAAGACCAGAAGCTCAAACCCTGTCTCCTTGCCTTATGAAATGTTTCGACATTATAATAAAATGGCTTTTTAATTCAGTCTCTATGTTCGACCATCATATTCACATTTCAACAGTCAATTTGTGCATACAAATAAAATTCCCTATGAACGGGTAAAACCAGCAAAAGGTCAAGACACTGACATTACAGAGATACTTACGCACTTGAATATCACCTGCTTAATCAATTATCACCCACTCCGTATTCTTCTTATAGTCTTGTGAATAATTTAGAAATGGGAAATTACCAAAAAAGTTCTAAATCTATTGTAGTTGTGCTAATTCAGTTCTAAACCTTTTGATAAACCTTTTGACAAATTACCGATGTATCCAGACAGCCAGCGCTGACGTGGACAAATTTTGCAATTTTTATTATATATATTTTTTCTTTTTCTTTTCTTTTCATTTTTTTTTCCTTCTTCCTCCGTTGGTCACCGAGCCTCGGCGATAGCCGACAACTGGCAACATGCGACAACCGGTGAGGGTCGCCCTTGCCGGCCTCAAGCGAGGTTACCCTCACAAGGTGACCTCGTCGGCTTCAGGCGAGACTCAGCCTCATTGGATCTGGTAAGGGCGAGCCTTACCCAAGGTCGGCGAGGGCGAGCCTCTCTGAAGGTTGGCGAGATCACCCCTCGCTAGATCCCTGCAAGGTCGAGCCTCCGCCGAAGCTGCTAAGAGCAACCCTTGCTGGCCTCTAGCGAGGGCGAGCCTTGCCCGAGGCCGGTCGCCGATCATAGCTGAGGCCTGGCAACCTGAGGAGAAAGAATGAAAAAAGAAAGAAAGAAAAGAAAAGCAAAAGAAAATAAAAATAAAAATATTTTAAAATTTCAAAAAAATGAATAAATAATTGCGAAAAATTATCCACAATAGTACTAACCGTGCCACATAGGATGGTCGGTGTCCATGTTAGTAATTTCCGACCAAAATTGGAGTAAATTATCAAAAGGTTTATGACTGAATTGGTCAATTGAAAGGTTTAGGCTATATTAACATAAGTGCAATAGATTGAAGACTTTTTTAGTAATTTTCCCAATTTAGAAAACGATATTGGAGTCGGAGTGCTTAAGTGCAAGAACTCCCCCTCTTTATGGGCCTGACAACCCGAAAGGACGAACCGACCTGTGCATGCTTGACCAGTCGCTTCTGCAATTCCTTGAGCTAGCGCCTTTCTTGAAAGATTAATAGCCACCGGATCAAACAAGAATAAATTTCATTGATCTGGCCTTTGGGCCAGAGTAGTTGGCTGGGGCGGCAAGGAAATTCCAGTTGAGAATTACCAAATCCCGCAAATTGTCGCAAACTACACAGGGTTAAGGCCACTTACACAAGCCTCAAACTTAACGGATTCTTGAGATTTGCACGGCGTTTCAAGGGTTTTCATATAGCGGGGCCTTTACGCTCGGACCCTTGAATTGTCAAAAAAAATATATATATATTTCTCACCTACTGATCTAAACCTTATTAAACTTATTCGTGTTATAATACTTAGAGTAAGAATTAGGAAAAAAAAAAAATACATGCGATTACGATGGGACGGTGGACCTTTGAAGCACAATGCGTTCAGGCCCAATTTAAATGACCCCGAAGGTACGACCCGTCCGGCCCAATGATTTATTGGGTCCGCTAGTAAGATGGGCCTGGCCCAACTCAATAATAGCCGGTAGTAATTGTAATTTCGTGCTGTACGATAAAATAATAAACAAAAAAGCAAAATAGAAAAGTCCCACCCACCGCACGAACAAAAATTAAAAAGCCATTTTATTTTCCTACCACACCTTTTCATCCACATATAAAAACCCAATTTTACCATTTTTTTCTTGTTCTCCCTCCATCTGCCTCCCACAAGCCAACGCCAAGCTCATCTTCGCAGCTCGCTCTCTGCAACAACACCATGAACGACGGTACAGTTCCTCCTTTCCTGCTCTTCACCCTCTCGTAGAAGATTCCACCGCGAAGAGAGCGCAAAAAACGCCGCGCGAAGCCCCCGATCCGATGGCGGCGACATTATGCGCCTCGCTCCTCCCTTCTTCCCAGCCGCTCGCTCCCTCCGTGCCGCCGTCCTTATCCTCGCCCTCCGCTTCGCTCCACGCCGGCGGAATCCTTCGCATTCGGGGCGGCGGGAGCTTCTCGCCTTCTCTGCCGCTTCGATCCTCGCGGCTCGCCTCGAAGGTCGGCGCGAGGCGTTTGCGGACGGCGATTCGAGCCTCCGCCGACTATTACGCCACTCTCGGGGTCCCCAAGTCCGCCAGCGGTAAGGAGATTAAGGCTGCTTACCGGAAGTTAGCTCGCCAGGTAAAAGAGTCTCCGTATTTTCCTTTTGTTTGTTCTGGTTTTTGCTTTGTGCAAGTTGATTGCCGAGTGAGCTCTGCGAAGATAGAGCGAGCGATGAACGGCGCGTCGTTTTGTGGATTTTGGGAGACGACGAGAGGTATGATTGATTAGGGAATGCGAATTTTAGTGACTGGCTTTGTTAATCAGTTGAGTTTTGGCAGTAGTTCGTACTGGCTACCTGAGTATTCTTAAGGGCGTGGTACATCTTAAAGTTGTCTCCGAGTAGTTTTAGTGAATATTGAGATTTAGAAGCTATGGATGTGGATAGTTTAGTGAGCCACTCAGGATTTCTCTGTTTGTGGACAATGGATGCAGTTTGGTTGTTTGTACGGCTGTACCAGTATCGGCATTCAAGCTACGGGCGAGTGCCTGTCGGTAGAAATGCTGCGCATTACTTTGATCCTCCTCCTGGAAACTCAAGTTCTGTTGCTATATTTTGCAGTACCACCCCGATGTCAACAAGCAGCCGGGAGCTACAGAGAAGTTTAAGGAAATCAGTGCTGCATACGAGGTATGCATCAGCTTTGAGGAACGAGAATTTCCTATGTTCTCTCAAAGTTTTCTATACTGAGCAAAGTCATCTCACAATCTAGTGGAATAGATGTTCACTGCATGGCAGTTGGTGATGATTGTAGATTAAAAGTTTGGTCCTTGGCTTGTTGTCAATTGCTAGGAAAAAAATTGGCATACTGAGCCAGTTCATCTTGGGTTGCAATTTTGGCTTATGACTAATATTTGCGGGCCCACAAACATTTGGAGAATTTTACTGATCATTGCTTTTGTAGGATATATCTCTATAGGGCTCACAACTTTGCTATTGTTCTGCTGTCGATTTCATTCTTTTCTGATTTTGTATTATTTATGCTGTTGAATCTTTGCCATCATCAGGTGCTTTCCGACGATAAAAAGAGGGCTTTGTATGATCAATATGGTGAAGCAGGAGTAAAGAGTACAGTGGGGGGCCCATCAAATGCTTATACGGTACTGGAGAGATCATAATCATTGCAAATGCATAGTTTATACATGAGTGACTTGCTCTATAGTACATTAGAAAACTTTATGATTTCTGCACAAATGCAGTTCTTTCCTCACATTTTGCATTGTCCTTCACTCAGACTAATCCTTTCGATCTATTCGAAACATTTTTTGGCCCAAGTATGGGTGGTTTTGCGGGTATGGACCCAACTGGATTCAGAACAAGCCGACGTAGCACTGTTATGAAGGGTGAAGATCTACGGTGAGTACGGGTAATATTTGTTTAACTACTGATTGGCCCCTTCCTTGCTGTATATGCACTTCTTGCTTCAGGAAATTTGACCATTGTGTGGAACATTGTAATCCAACTACTCTATCGATGTCTATTTTCTGTGTTTTCTTGTGCAGCGATTCTTAATTATGTTTTAGAATTAAAAGTTGATCTGATAACTACGTTTTTAAATGCGTGCCAGTAAAGGACATCCTCCACAAGGATATAATTAATAGGAAATTGATGTTGATCTGTTTTTCTTTCTCTTTTGTTTTCTTTTTTCTTTTCCTTGTCTCCCTAGGCAGGGGTATAAAGTAAATCTCTACATATTAACTCGTGTTTCCAAAGTTTTCAGTTATGACATGACTCTACAATTTTCTGAGACCATATTCGGAGCGGAAAAAGAATTCGAGCTCTCCCACTTGGAAACATGTGAAGCTTGCTCTGGTACTGGAGCAAAGGTTGGTTCCAAGAAGAGGATATGCTCAACATGTGGTGGCAGGGGCCAGGTTATGCGAACAGAGCAGACTCCTTTTGGCATGTTTTCCCAGGTATAAGCACTAGATATCAGTCCTTTTAGGTGACTGGACAAATGCTTTTGACTTCCCTTGTCCTAGGTTTGGTTGTTTGGTGCTTGCAATTGGCTAGAAATAAACTAGAAATTAGTCGTTTCAAGTTATATGGTTCTTTGGAAATCTGTAGTTTTTGTAATCGAAGTAGTACTAGCCATAGGACTCACATGTCCGGTCTAAAATGACATCTTTTTATGGTTGTGTATAAGTATACAGGACTTGCAACTGTTTCCACATCAGGAGATGTTATCTCTACCATTAGTGAAATAGACAGATATTGATAGAACACCTAAGATTCAGACGTGCTAACACCGTCTACAGAAAGGAGATTATAGGAGGTTAATTGGAGTTATGTCCAGGAGGATGGGCTGACCCAGAAATTCTCAGTGCAATTGGCCATGTCCATTTTATTTACTTTGTCGTGTTTTTTTACTTCGTTGAGAGAAGAAATTAATCCTTTGTCGAATTTTCGTCTTCTTTAGTTATTTTACAAGCTGAGTGTCACTTCAGAATACTGAAAAACATTTATGTTAGGTGTCTGTTTGTCCCAACTGTGGTGGGGATGGTGAAATGATTTCTGAATATTGTCGAAAATGCTCTGGCGAAGGGCGTATTCGGGTCAAAAAGGACATGAAAGTGAAAATTCCACCTGGAGTCAGCAAGGGTAGTATCCTCAGAGTTGCTGGAGAAGGTGATGCTGGACCAAGAGGGTATGACATATCATTTTGTAAACTTGGCATCTGTCTTGCACTGTTAATGAATCGCTGGAATGGATTTTTTGACAAATTTATATAGGCTTTCGGAAACAAACTTTGAGAATTGCAACGTGATATTTCTCTGTCTGGATTTAATGAATATCTGTAGAATCAATATTTATAGCTATTACAATTTTTCCTATAACAGATTGGAATATTTTATTAGCGATTCAGCTGTTCGCAGTTTCATATTTGACAAAAGCTGGCCAACTAGTCATTAAGCTTGCGGTCAAACAGGGAAAAAAAAAGATCTCATGCAATTGCTCATCTTGACTTCTTGTCACCCCAATGATGTTGTTCCTTTAATTTTCCAGTAATGGGTATAATCTTTAATATGTTTTATGCTTTCCAGAAAGTCTTCAGCGTGATTAATATTTTGAATAGACTAGACACTAGTGATGGCTCAATAAGCAAGGGATTGTACTTCGCCTTTCCCCCACTTGTATCCAATGGGTTGCATCCCCCTCATTTTCCTTTTTGAGGGGAAAAGTCTTGAAAATTAAAAACTTCTTAATGAATTTAGTAGCTTTGTCGCCTGACAAAAGAATTTTTACTTAAAGACAGTCGACAAGATATACTTCTCTATGCTCATTTCTATGCAAATGGCAAAAGTTTCTTCACTCTCTTATTTGTGCCTCAATTATTTCTTTTCTTTGGCATTTTAACTTCTTTTGTCCGATCATTAGTTTTGAATTCTTTTCCCCCTCTGAGTTATTTTCCTTTTTTTTTGGCCTTTGGATTATGAGTTGCATTCTCCTCCTTTTGTGCCGTTGCCAACCTCATTGGATCAGGGGTTTTCCACTAACCAGGCCCTCTGCCCAGTCAGTTGTTGAGGAAGGTTGTCATAATCACTGTCTCTCTGCACCTTGGATTGTATGTTTGTTTTCTGGACTTCAGTCTGGAAGCAGCCTCATTGCCATTAAAATGGACTGTTCTTTCTCTGATGTTGTCACATTGGAGGATAAAGTAATATTTTGCCACTTCTGCCTTTCAATTCATGGTTCATGGAAAAGAACAAATTCATTACCCTTTCATCAGGTCATTTCTTTCTTCAAAGTCTATACTAAGACATTCGTGTCTTTTTATTGTTTACGTCTTTTTCAGTTTAATTTCCCTCATACAACAGGGCATTGCCTTTGTTTATTTCGTTTCTTCCTTATGCGTATAGAAACAATCACATCAATGGAGAAATTGACAATATATTGCATGACACCATAAACATGATAAGTATTTGAATTGGTAACTAGAAATCCTTTGCAGAATATATTCAAGAATTTTAATTGTTTAATGTTCACGTCATCAGGGGTCCTCCAGGTGATCTTTTTGTATATCTTGAGGTTGAGGAGATTCCAGAGATTCAAAGAGATGGAATAAATCTCAATTCTACAGTAACCATTAGCTATCTAGATGCTATATTGGGTGCGGTGGTGAAGGTAATACTTCAAATTTCCCTGATAAGCTTCGCTCTTTATCATTTTGTATTTATAATAGAGAGAATTGTTAGAGGGAATGTAATGCAGTTATAGGGAGATTAAGGCATGCTGAATTAAATGTTTCGACAAGGAGAAAGACAAATTTGAAAGGTAGAGACCTCTAACTGCACTGAGTTTCAGCAAAGCTATCCCTTCAGAGCTGATAAGCTAAAAAATCGTCAACCTTCACCAAATTAAGTCAAAGCCTTGGCCCTTCCTAGTACTTCTTCCATCCAAGTACATGAAATTAATTGTGGTTATGTCATTGATGCTGATCAGATGATTTTTCTGATCGTGACCAAACTGCTAATGTCATTCTCTAAATATTGTTAGAAAAATTTTGCTGCCATCTGATTGATAAATTTAAAAGTTGACGATTCTCTCGCAGAAAATAAGTGGTGCCAAGGAAATTTTAAGGGATGTTGGGATTCTTTCACTTGGTTTTTTATTAGAAGTTACCTGACTAGATGAAATACCTTTTGATGGTCAGAACTACGGAGTCCCCACAGGGAAGCAGATTGTAATGCATGGGCCACCTATGGCTTAGAGATAATCGAGAACAAGTTTCGTATAGCTTCAGACATAGGATCATGTGGTGGTCCATCTATATCAGTACTTTGCTGAGGCTTTACAGATTACCTATTGATTTTATGTCTTGAATTTCAACAGGTTAAAACAGTTGAAGGAACTTCTGAACTACAGATACCTCCAGGTGCACAACCAGGGGATGTTCTGGTTCTTGCTAAAAAAGGTGCACCGAAATTGAATAGACCCTCAATACGTGGTGACCACTTATTTACAGTTAAGGTCACTATTCCAAAGCGTGTGAGGTATATAAATCTCATCTTATTACTTCTTTCTCTTGTATAATTTGTCGAAAAATTTTATCAGTGTGTTTTAAATTTTGTTCATTTTTACATGCATCTCTCCGGTGGGTTACCGAATCGTGACTTAATTCGTCTCATGTACACTTTAAAACGGACACATCTGAAACAAGGATCTTGGCTAAATGTTTTTTGCCTCTACATTATTTGCTTTACCTTAGATCAATGTGATCTAATTAATGGTGCTTGTTGGAGGTTGTAAGTCCATCCATTCATCTGCTTAATTTTTCGATTATATTGATGGACTCTCTTAAGCTGGCACATCTTTTAATGTCAGTCAAAATCAGGCAATTTTGCATGTGTCTGTGAGTCAATAAGTTGACAAAACATGTTCGGTTATAAGTTTTTACTCTCTCAAATTTTTTTCCTCTAAATTTCTTTTTAGTTAGTGAGATTTTACTGGTTTCTGCACTAGTATCTTTTTAACGAGTGGCATACCTTTGTTTGTCCTCAAATATACCATTAAGAGGGTAGTCTTGCATGGACCATGAAAGAGCTAAGGTATGTCATTTTATTAAAGTTATTGCCAATGTTTTCAGTTCAAGTGAACGGGAGTTACTTGAAGAGCTGGCTTCCTTGAGTAGCTCTACCACCAGTCGCTCAAGAACTCGCCCAAGAACACCACCACCTGGTAAGATGGTTGCTTTATGTGTTCTTCATAGGCATAATGTGGTTTTCCTTAGTGTTGAAAATGTCTGTTTTGTCATTGCGTAATATACTACTAGATATAAAAAAAAAAAAACAAAACAAAAAAAAGTACTACTAGATATTATTCATGAAAGAAAAAAGAAAAAAAATTACTGGATGTGGATTTAAACAAAAATTCACATATTATATTCAGTATTGATGTGAGAACCAACCTTCGGGCCTTGAGCTTAATATCAAGGTCCAGTACCTACGCAGTGCGTACTGACTAGTGTATCCGTGCAAGTTTGAGATCGGTTCCATCTCTTACGGTAGAGCTTTGTCTCTGCAGCTCCAACTCCTGAGAAGCAGCAGGTCGATTCTGAGATGGAGAAAACTGAAGATTCTGGAGATGAAAATGACTTGTGGACGAAGTTGAAAGATTTGGCTGGGTAATTCTTCCTTTTCTTTAATTTGAGTAGTTTCTTTATTCCGCTAAATCGTGTTGAATTCTTCGAATCCATAACAAACGAGTTGCATATAGCGGAAAAAAACAGAGGTTTGGGGTTAATACACTTCTTATTGAATGGGTTTCATTAAGCAGGGAATTCTGTGTTAGTACTTAAGGCTGGGTTCTCCAGGTGCATATGTTGAGACTTGATTAGTCATTTTGCATACTACCCCACATACTTATAAGAAAGCTTGATATACTGTCCCTCCAAAAGTTATAGACTTCCAGATGTAGTTGAGTACAATTACCCGATCCTCATATGTCTAGGCAGGTACAACACTTTATGTTTTTGTTCCTCGGGTGCTGAGATATTTGCTCTTGCATTCAAGTGCAAGTTTTATTTGGTGAATCTGCATCTACTCCCTCTTCATATTCGGGGGAGCGTGTGATTCTTCTGGCGGAGCTCGGTCTAGAGTCCCTACAGTAATGTTCAGAAAGATGTAGTTATGCAATGATCTCTAATCATCGTAACTTTTCTGGAACCTGACCTGTTTCATTCAAGTATTAGTCCTTTAGTAGTCGTTAAGATGTAGCTATCTCATGGTCTGATCATCCTAGTTTGAAGTGCTAGTCTTTTATACTTTGAGACTGCATTTTCACATGCATGCACAAAGGATCGTTGACATAATAAAGATTTGACGTGCAGGTCTGTTGTGAATGGAGCTCTAAAATGGATGAAAGACAACCTGTAATTTGAGGTATATCCCGTATACTGAAGTCAAAGCTCACATCCGTCCATGCACATTGTAGTTGCCCTGGAATTTTGTCTGTCCCTCGAAAAATTTGCTGGCAAAAGATGGAGCTATCAATTGCTTTGGGCATTCCAGTCTTCTCGGAGTTCTCCAGAAAATCAATCGATACAGCCCCCGGTGGTTATTCTTTGATTTTTTTTTCTTTCAACTGTAAATTTTAGCCATTGATCAGGTGATAGCGGGGTTCATCTGTGCAATTACACATTACTTTGTAATTGTTACACGGGCTATGAGAGTTAGGGCTTGAGAAATGGGGTTCTCATTTTAGGGAAGCACGTTGGCACATGAATTCCCCCCAAGTGCACGTATGGATTTGCAAATATGTGAGATGTCGATTTAGAACATGAAAAAGCAAATGACTTCCGGCTTTCGCTCTCTTCTTTTTGGATTTCAAATGGCGTGACTTTCTTTCAAAGACAGGTGGATGCATCTGCGGAGCGTAATTTTTGTTAAATGCGAGTTTGAATGTTTGGATCATTGATCTCATGTATGATTAGATTAGTCAATCCAATGATAAACGCAAATTTTCTTTTTTGATTACTATAATAGCGTTCTAAAATGAGGGTCATCTCATGCTAATGACAGAATAAATTTCTTCTTTCACAATTTTGGGAACAGAATTCTTCCTTGGATTTAATTTTTTCTAACATAGGATTTGCGCGCTTTTAAGAAACTAAATTCGCGGCTGCGGAAAATAACTGAGAGAGGTACTAATTCTGGAAGACAATCCTCACAAAGGATGTGTAATTTACCTGTCGCTGAAATCTCTCACTCAAATCGACGTATCACCAATTTAAACAAAAGATTTCTACGCATAGCTTTGGCCCACAAACACTCCCACACAGAGGGGAAAAAAGCAAATAAATAAATAAAAGTATTACAGCTGCCGATAATAGAGAAAAACTCTTACAGAAAAATCATTTTAAACAAGACCTAAAATCTTCGTCGTCGTCGTCGTCAATAATCAATATCCTAAATCCAAACATAAATTTGTCTACCGCGACAAATTCCACGTCAGCTTCCGTAACTTCTCTTCTGGCTTACTTCCGCTCTCCGTCCAAACGAACTCCCTCCGGAGCCGGCCACGTTTCGGGCGCGACCGACACCGGCCCCAGGGGGCACCGTGCGGCGGCGCAACCCGGCGGCCAAATCGTCAGCTCGCAGAATCTCTTCGCGTTGTCGTCTTCGAGGTAGTGCTCTTACATTCCAGCGATCGCCCGTTAATTTTTGACAGAATTGAAGCTCGAGGCGTTGGCGAATTGGGTTCGCATGCATCCGCGTGCTAAGTTACGCGCCCCAGACGTTTGATGAATTCGTCGTACCGGTTGCTACGAGCGTGTGTTGACTGATTACTCGCACCTGTAATAATGAATCAACGATCATGAACTGGACAAAGACTTCACTGTCGCCCTCAAATTGAAGAAGGAAGGGTGTTCATACCATACATTGGTCGCTGATTCGGATAAATCGAATCATCGACTCGTCACTGCTGACCGAATTACTTTTGCCGTGCCTGTTCGAATAAATGTTCGGATTGGTGGTTTGTTAGGTTTTATTCTGAAGTGAAAGTAATGTAGATTGGTGAATGGTCACCGCCCTCTGCTATCTTGCTCAAAGGAGGCATGGAAAGCTAAATCTTGCACTGGTCTTTTTGTTAATTTTGATGTGGTTTATAGGCAGTTGGCAACATCAGATCGAGACTCGAGTTATCTGGAAAATTTCAACGTGCGCATGCCACCGAAAAAATCATGATCCCACTCCAAGATACATAAATAGGAAGGAGAGAAACTAAAGACCAATTGAAAGAAGGAATATATTGTGGAAGCAGTAAATTTTGCGCGACTGTAATCTGTGCACACGACCACACGAACTGTATGAAAACTTCTTATGAGTTGATGGGTTTCCACAGGTTGCGTCTTATCATGTGATTGTTGTGCTAGCTCCCTCGTCTTTGTAGAGATGGATGAAGTCTCTCTCAATGCTGAGCCAGTGGGCGATGACGAAGCCGAGGAACTTGAGATTGAGGGAGACTGCGCAATGACTGAATTAGTTGGTCAGACTAGTGTAATTCGAGGAGAGAACCCCGTGCCTCCTGCTGTCGGGATGGAATTCGAGTCGTATGAGGATGTATATTACTTCTACAGTTGCTACGCCAAGGAACATGGGTTCGGGGTTAGAGTAAGTAATACGTGGTACAGGAAGAGTAAGGAGAGATATAGAGGAAAATTGAGCTGCAGTAGTGCAGGTTTCAAGAAGAAAAGCGAGGCGAACCGCCCGAGACCAGAAACAAGAACCGGGTGTCCAGCGATGATAAAGTTCCGGTTGATGGACAATACGAGGTGGAGAATCATCGAGGTTGAGCTCGAGCACAACCACTTAATCAGCCCAACTGGTGGTAAATTCTATAAATCACATAAGCTCACGGGTCTGGGGACCAAGAGGCCATTGGAGTTGGAAGGTCCTGAGGAAGTAGAAACGATCAAATTATTTCAGACTGTCATCGTAGATGCTGAGGGTGGGGAATTAGGTGTGGATGATGGTGACCTTAGAAAGAATTCTGACCTGTCCAATAAATTGAAGCTAAGAAAAGGAGATGCTCAAGCTGCTCTTGATTTCTTCTGTCAGATGCAGCTCATGGATCCTAATTTCTTTTACGTGGCAGACCTCAATGAAAGAGGATGTCTGAGAAACTTGTTTTGGGCTGGTGCGAGGTCCAGGGTTGCTTATCGCTACTTTGGGGATGTAGTTGCGATCGACGCGACATTTTTCGGACAAGAATTTGATGTCCTGCTGGTCTCCTTTATTGGGGTGAATCACCATGGGCAACCTGTACTGCTGGGTTGTGGTTTGTTAGCAGGTGAGACTATGGAGTCGCATGTATGGCTGCTCAGGGCTTGGCTCACGTGTATGCTGGGACGCCCTCCCCAAACCATCATTTCCGACCAATGCAAAGCCTTGCAAGCTGCTATCTCTGATGTGTTCCCCAGAGCTTCTCATTGTATAGATTTGACAAAGGTCATGAGAAGAATCTCTGAGAAATCGGAAAATAAATACCACTACGAAGCGATCAAAGCTGCAATATATAGAGCAGCATGCCTTTCCCAGAGGGCTGAAGGATTTGAAGCAGCTTGGCTGGATATCATGCATGAGCATGGACTCGAGGATCAGCAATGGTTTCAAAGTTTGTATGAAGATAGGAACCGGTGGGTTCCAGTCTACTTGAAGGAGACCTTTTTGGCAGGAATGTTTACTATCCAGCTAAATGAAGAAGCGACTTCATTTTTCAAGGGATATATAGGGAACTGCACCTCTTTGAAGGAGTTTCTGGACAAGTATGATCAAGCAATGCAAAGGAGTCACCAGCTTGAAGCACTGGCCGATCTAGATTCAAGAAATTCGAGTTCTATGCCGAACTCGAGGTGTAATTATGAGTTGCAGCTCTCCAAATTGTACACGAGCTACATCTTCATGGAGTTCCAAAAAGAGGTCGAAGGAATGTATTCTTGTTTCAGCACAAGACAAGTGAATTTAGATGGGCAAGTCGCAACCTATACAGTTCAAGAACACATTGAGCTTGACGATGGTCAGAGGGAAGCAAGAGATTTCGAAGTTTTGTTCAACGGAACCGAAATGGAGGTCTTCTGTGCTTGCGGTTTATTTAACCTGAGAGGATATCTGTGCAGGCACGCACTATATGTCCTCAACCAAAACAGGGTAGAAGAGGTCCCACCTCAATACGTGCTTCCGCGCTGGAGGAAGGATGTCAAGCGCGGTTACGTCCTGGACCAGAGATCCGCGGGGATCGACGTGGACAACCCAGTTCACCGGCACGAGCACTTGCACAGATGCATCGTGCAGGTCATGGACGAAGCTAGGAAGTCGCAAGACCGCCATAAGGTGGCGCTGCAGGCGTTGGACGAGATGCTGAACAAGCTCCAACTCTCGCAAGATCACCCGGAATGACTCTGTTGATCGAGACCCCGAAATCTTGCACGGACAGGAGGAGGTCTCTGCAACATGCAACCCTACATCATGTTCACTGCTGATATTTGGATGAGAAACAATGGCATTAAGGTGGGTGGAGCATGGATGTTTTCTCGTCGTAAAGCCAAGCCAACACATACATACATCCCATCAAGCATCAACCGTTTGTTAAAAGAAAGAGGACGACCGTATCATCGCCTCAACGGAACCTGAACAGATTCGAGTATTCATCCGAATGCTTGAAAAAATGCAGCAATGGCATGACGACAATCTGATTAGTTCATTTGAAAAGCAAGGACGGTTTCAATCGGGTCAAAGAGGTCGGGGCTCCACAAGTTGATTGGGCCGGGCCTTGTCACAAGCTTCAAAGCCCAATGGGCTTAGCCCATAACTGAGCTGGCTCTCTGCTGCAAAAACCCTCTCTCTCTCTCTCTTCCCTCGTCGTCTTCCTCCTCAATCTGATTTTCCCGCCTCTAACCAGCAGCTCCAAGGCGACGACGACGACGATGAAGTTCAAGGCGTTTCTCACGGACAACGGCGTGGCCCTCCTCGAGAAGCGGTTCCTGCCGGCGCTGGACAAGATCGACCGGACGTGCCACCTCTACCTCACCAGGGACCACGCCGTCTTCCTCCACAACCTCCTCAACGGCGACGGCCTCCAGTCCGTCGCGCAGTTCCGCGTCGAGGCCCTCTTCGACGGCTACCGCATCTCCAGCCAGAACGACGACCGCATCGCCTTCGCCATCGACCTCTCCCTCCTCCACCGCGCCATCCGCAGCAGCGTCGGCATCTGCAACGAGCTCGCCGCCGCCGCCGCCAACGCCGCCGGAGGATCGGACTCCGAGCGGCTCCAGATAAAGCTGGTGAAGAAGTTGCCGGCGAACAGCACCCAGCCGATGCCCTTCCTCACCTTCGAGACGAAGGGCTACAAATCCGCGGTCGTCCAGGACGTGCCGATCTCGAAGCCGATGTCTAGGGCTCAGGTCTCGGAGCTCCAGTCGGCGCTCGACTCGGCTCAGGCGCTCCCCAAGACGCTCGTCCAGGTTCACGACCTGAACCAGCTGCAGAGCTTCGTGGACAGGATGAGGCACGTCGGGGATGTGCTGAACGTCTCGATCAGCAAGCACGGAGACCTGCACTTGCAAATCTCGACCACTCTGATCACCCTGGGCGCGGAGTTCCGGAAGATGCTGGTCCTCGGGGAGCGAGCCGAGGCTCCCGCGGAGGACCGGAGCCTGAGCGCGCAGGCCAGGTCCGAGAGGGCGGTCTCGAGAGGCGACGCCGAGGCCGTGCAGGTGAGCGTGAAGCACTTCGCCAAGAGTCTCCAGCTTCACATGGCGAAGCCGGATTGCGCCTTCTACGGGATCGCGGAGCAGGGCGCATGCTTGACCGTGATCTTCCAGTTCTTCATACCAGGGACGCGGCAAACAGACAAGTCGATCAGCTTGCACTGCAGGCTTCCTGTACTTGACCCTGGCACTAATTGAAACGCCAGAAACTAATTCATCACTCAATCCTCCATTAGTGTATGATTCGGAACTGTCGAATACAAATTGATATCTTGGCATGAACGCCAGAATCGGTTCATCATTCAATTCTCCATTTTTAAATCTTACAAGTCCTCATCTTCACGATATCTAAATGTAGATACGATTATTCACATTCAATTTTTTTCCAGAATGTTACGCAATTTGAGTAATATTTTAGAGTAAGGTAGGAAAGTAAGAAATATTTAGTTGCGACAAGCAGCCAATCGAATTCGACATGGTGCAAGAAAAAGTTCAAGAATTTGCTGCGCAGCAGGTCTTTCTCGTAACATTCTCAAGACACTTTCAACGTTTGGCCAAGACATTCAGACATTCTGCTGATGCAATGAACAAGCGATTGGGTTGGAATCAGGATGGCAGCGTGCATACTTGAGATAAACAGAGGAGTTCTTCAATAATATTCACAAAGAAACGTTGATATCACAGGACTTGGGTTACACGATGAATTGGCAAACAAGTGTCGGGTCACCTTCATTCTTTCTTCTCCTCGACCAGATGAACCCTATTCAATGCGTCTTCGAATGTCTGTAATGCGGCCCTGTAATGTTCAGGAGAGATCACCCCCTCCTCGACGATCTGCAAAGCGCTTCGGTACAGCTGATTGAGCCACTGCACGCGATCGGCAGCGCTAGAGTCGCCGGGCCCTGGATCGGGGATGTGCAAGCGCTTATAATCCTTTTTCCATCTTGAGAGGATGTACTTTGACGGAATTTCCTCCACCCCATTGAAGTTAAGAACGCACAGGGCGTGCCTGCATAGATAGCCATAGAAATTGAAGCAGCTACAGATGCAACGAACCTCCGCCGCCGCTCTGTTGTACAGGACCTCGTAGTCCCTTATCTCCCTTCTACTTCCTTCCCCTGAGACCCGCTCCTTGACCAGGAATATAATGACCGGTCCATCGACATACAGCTGTGTCGTGCTAAGACAAGAATACATCTCCTCTACCTCAAACTGGAACTTCTTGAATATATCTCTTGTGTATACCTTGGAGAGCTGTAACTCAAATGAACATCTCGTTTTCAGCTCATGGCTTGAGCTCCTCGAATCATTATCCGCAAGGGCTTCTTCCCTGTGCTTCTTTTGTAAAGCTAACTCGTACTTGTCAAGAAATTCTTTCAATGGAGTTTGTTTATGCACATACTTATCAAAAAATGCATTCAATGACTCGCCCGGCCGGGTAGAAGACATCCCAGCGAAGAACGTGTCTTTCAAGTAGACTGGAGCCCATCTGACTCGGTCCTCATATAAAGCTCTAAGCCATTCGTGATCACCAACACCAGAATGCTGGACCATGGTCCCCCATACTGTCTCGAATTCACTCACTTTCAGAGATTCATACACTGCTTTAGTCAACGCCCTCCTGATTGCATCATAGTTGTTCAACCCTCCTAACTTTTCCGGAACTTTTCTCATGATGTGTGACAAACCAAAACGATGATGACATCTTGGAAACACCTCCTCAATTGCACCAAGCAAAATCTGGCACCTGTCTGTAGTTATAGTTTGTGGGGAGCATCCGGACATACATGAACTCCAGGCTTTCAACGCCCAAGTATAAGACTCCATTGTCTCGCCTGCAAGCAATCCACATCCTAGCAAAACTGATTGGCCATGGTGGTTCACTCCCACAAATGCCACTAGAGGGATCTCGTATTTGTTAGACAAGAACGTTGTGTCAAAATATATAACATCACCAAAATAAACACATGCAGCTCTAGACCTAGCATCAGCCCAGAACAAATTCCTCAAATTCCCCTCATCAGTAAGATCCATGAGATAGTAGAAATTAGGATTGGTCAATTGCATGCGGCAGAAGTAATTATATATAGCCTGAGTGTCACCTTTCTTAAGGTTCAGATGATTAAGATGGTCAGACAGACTCCTAGCTTCATTTTCACCGAAACTTTGGTTTCCATTACCTCCCGCATCAATGACAAGTGCCCGGTATAACTTAATTGTTCTTTCTTCAGCATCAGCACTGGACTGTGACTTTCTTTTGGTACCAGCACTCATCTTCTTAATTGTTCTGTAGCTCTTCGAGTCCAACAAGTGGTTGTGTTCAAGTGTCACTTCAAGCACCCTCCATCTTCTGGAGTCCACTAGCCTCATCCGAATCATTGCTGGACAGCCAGTTCGAGTTTCTTTTCGAAGACGATTCACATCTTTAACTCTTTTGAAGCCTTGGCTACTGCAGCAGAGTACTGCACCGTACTTTTCTCTACTATTTCGCTTGAACCATGAATTCTTCACTCTGACACGAAATCCTGCTTCCTTAGCATAACAGTTGTAGTAGTTGTACGCATCATCATATGACTCAAACTCCATTCCGACAGCAGGAGCAACAAACTCCTTTCTTCCGACAGATATGCCATTCTGATCATCAGATACTGCTGCGGCGCCATCTGTCCCTCTTTGACTAGTGCTGCACTCACCATCGTTACCTTGCTCACTTGCAAGGGGAGCCTCCTCCATCTGAGACGTAAAGTGATGTCTGACAAGCAGACGGTAAAAATGAGAAGAACAGTATTCACAAAGAAAGAGGCCAAAGTGAAACTTACACCAGTCTAAGATCGTGTGATCATCATCTAAACGCGAGAAGGTATTTGGGAAGAAAGAACGTCTGGGTTAGAGCATGCAATTTGGCCAAGCTATTCAAGTGTCTATCTCAAGTTCCTCTCTTCTTTGACCCTCCATTTTCAACAGTCCCAATCATTGACCATACAAATCTTTTTCAATTCCCGTGTTGCAAACACAAAGGTCCAATCTCAGCCCATGCGCACAGTGAATTGTGAAAGAGATCACTGAAGCTAAATGTGCATTCTTTAAGAGCCAGTTCAAGAGAAACCGAGTTCCATAAGGCATCCCTGAAACTGTTGAAAAGATGGTACATTCCCAGATTCGGACTAAATCATCAAAAGTTTAACCCGAGAAAATTTACCCAAAAAAAAAATTTCACAAGCAGTTTAGCCCCAGAAAATTTCAACCAAATGCACCAAGTCCCCACAAGCAATTCCATTTCAGCTTCACCTCCCCTGACTTTGAGCCTTCATTCTCCAGACATGCATTTACCTCTGATACATCAATTACAGAGACGATGAATCTACTTCAGACATGATCATCACAAGCTACATAAGCACAGCTAATCCGTGGCGACACATGTTTCTTACGGAAGCACCGCACACCCACATCAAACGACGAATACAGCATCTGAATTGAAACTACGAACGACAAAAGGAACAACCTGCGCACCAAAAAGTCCCATCGACATCACAAAGCACAAAAAAACTCGATAAATCGCCACTGTCACGGACGCGCACAATTCGGCAGCTAAGCGAGCTTGAAATCTACACCAGCCTGCAATCAACTAGACTGTCTCAAAACCTAGAGAGCTTTCGAGATTACCTTCGACGAAAGCTTGGTTCCTGCGTCCGCCAGATTTCGCCGGAATCCTCACCGCCTCCGGTGAACCTCCGGTGATTCCGATCTCAGCAAACCGAATATAGAGAATTCGAGAGAGGGAGAGCGTGTTCTCATAAATGGACGTGTTTTGGAATACGTCACGTTGTTTTTCCGGTCCGAGCTCTGATTCCTGAATGGAACCGGTCCAATTTCATCCGGGAACTGGGGATTGATGAATCAGGAAAACCGGTTTCCGATTTATGGAACCGGACTGGACCACTTTGGGATCGGGAACCAGACCGATGGTCCAATCCAGTATAATGGAACTGGTCACTTATTGTACATAATTTATAATAATTATTGCAATTTGTGTTCACGTCAAGTTTCTTCCCGCTGCTAGGTATGTACCTTTTTCCTCTTTGAAATTGTTCTAGTAGAGAGTAGCTCCCGGATGAGTTAAATTTGTTTGTGTTACTACTGAAAAAAAGTTTTGAGGGAGGAGGACTGAAGTTCACTTAAAGTTTCGTTTTACTTTACTTAATTTTTTCAAGAAATAAATATATATATATAGCCGGTTCGATCCAGTTCCTCCTTAAAATCGGAAACCGGACTGGGACTCCCGGGAACCGAACCAAACCAGGCGGTTTGGTTTGTCCGTCTTGCTCACCCCTACTGAAAAATCTCTCAAAAATCTCTTTAATTTGGATTTTAATCATTTTAATATGGCGTTGTTGTTTCCATTTATATCTAATTTTTTGTATTAGACGATATTTATCATTTCAAGTATTATTTAAGCTAAAGATATCTAAAATCAGGGTTGTTTTCCCATTTTGGGAGAATGAAATAAATAAGAGTCCATAACCGTCGGCGACTTTTTGATTTATTTCTTTAATTATTTTTTTTTCCAAAAATCGTGTTATTTTAAATCGAGATAGCCAGTAAGAAAAAGAAATGAGAAACATATTTAGGAGCAATATTCGAAAACTATATCATCAACCTAAAAATGTTTCTGGATGATAAATTTCGAGAGTTTGATTGAGAAGCATTTATTATGAGCAATTTATCGTTTAACTTTATTGCAATTTGATTTTTGTTTTGCCAAAATTGATTGTATGTGTATGAATTTTCCTAAGGGAACATATCTCCAATTTTATTATAATCGGTTTACAACATAATTAACAATTATTTCAAGAAGTGATTACCCCAAAGGGTCATATGACAAAAGTCACAAAACCTATGTGCTATTTTCACATCCACAAGGGAAGTTGACCCCATTTTTTTTTTTTTCATATCAGCCAGACATTTTACTTCACAAACCTCTCTCTCTCTCTCTCTCTCTCTGTAGGACCCATCAATCAGAATTTCGTGGCTCACATCATCTCACAGAAGATTCAGATCACTCAGCTTTGCACAGCATACACAATTAACAAAACCTGGTGCACATTCAGTCACAAAATTCAGTGCCTTTACTTTGGTAAGCAGCAACCCAAAAATGGCTGCTTTCTCCCTGCCTGTCTCTCCTCCTCCTTCATTCACAACCCTCTGCTCTTCTCTACATCACACATCCACCACCAAACTCAACACCAGGAAACAGTTGACTGCCAAGAAAAGACACACCACCCTTATAGTTAAAGCTTCAGAGAAGAAGGAAGAAACTGACGAAGACACACCAGCATTCAATCCCTTTGGTTTCGTGACAGATAACCCGTCGAGCAGGAGCGCCATTCAGCTCCCTGAGAGCCCCGCCGAAGACGGCAATGTCGGCCAAATGCTCTATGTGAGTGAAGTGAAGTGAATTTCTTTATGTAATTGTGTGTATGCAGTATGCGATTTCTTGATTCAAGTAAAATGTTGTTCGGCTTGTTCATGTTGATTCCATAATTAAAGAACGGTAAGTTCATTGATGTTTTTTGTATTCTTTTCGTACTGGCAATTGGATTTCGGTTAGTTTCATCTTTTGCTTCTATTATTGGCTCAGTGAATTTCGTCAAGTAGGCATTACATTATTATTTTCTAGATGTGATTGTTGCATCTCGAATAGATTTTATTCATTTTTAGGAGTCTCTTGGAACCATTATATGGTTGTTCTTGAATTCTAGAGGATAGAGGACAAGGGAAAGGAATATGGCTCCTACATTAAATCTGGCAAGTTCATATGGTTTGTTAGGGAAACAGGTGAATCTTTCTGTTTCTGCTGAATTGTTCTTGGATTTTCTTCCTTAATTCTTACAGCGCACTCTGATAAGTGAACATTACACCTTGAAGGGTCACCTGAGAGCCGGCATGGCACAATAGTCTTCCTTCATGGCGCTCCGACACAATCTTACAGCTACAGAGTCGTCATGTCTGAGGTATCTAGCTTTCCTTTGTTATCCTGAAATTGTGGTAGCCTTAAAAACTCTATGATTAATGCTTGGTGAATATTTGAGGCTTACTAAGCTGACACTCTCTTTTCTACATTGGTGAAGACATGACTTTGTAGAAGATAAATTTTGTTTTTGCCACCTAACTAGCACTCTTCTTATGCTCTCTTCTTGGAATTGATACCGGCATACTCAGAAGCATTTCTGTCAGAAAACTTCCTAGAAAGAGCTTTAATTGGCTCATCAGGCATTACTGGAAAATATTTTCGCATGCGCATTGATCTTCAACTTTTGAAATTCTGTTTCGGTTTCTAAAAGATGATTGCTTTCTTGTTGATTCAAATAGATGTCCAATGTCGGGTTTCACTGTTTGGCTCCTGACTGGATAGGATTTGGTTTCAGCGACAAGCCACAACCAGGATATGGTTTTAATTACACAGGTTTGTGACTTTCAAGCAAACAAGATTAATTAGGGAACACCGTTCTTCCTCTCATTAAGTTCGAGTATTCTGACACGAATTGAGTTTTTCCCGGCAGAAAAGGAGTTCCATGAAGAGCTTGATAGATTACTCGATGTCCTGGGTGTTAAATCCCCTTTCTTCCTAGTTGTTCAGGTTTGAACAAATTGATTTCTGATCATGTAAGACCTGTGAAATTGATGAAGATTAGACTAACATAATAACTTGACAAGCAACTAAAGATTAATTTTCAGTTCAGAAACTCTGCCTCTAACATGTGCATCTGGTATTTTTTGAAGGGCTTTCTTGTAGGTTCATTTGGACTGACATGGGCCTTGAAAAACCCAAGCATGATATTGAAGCTGGCGATATTAAACAGTCCATTAACGGCTTCATCTCCCATCCCAGGATTGTTTCAGCAACTGAGGTGAGATTTTACACTACTTAGAAATGAGATGTTATTTATCTATTGTCTTAAGGACCATATCTCCACTTTCATAAATTTTTACCAAATTATTTTACTTGTTAGAAAGTGAGAGTTGAATTATTTCAAACCATTGCATTTTGCGACTTAGCAGAACGATTGCAGTTTCTTCTGTGCCTCTCTCTCTCTCTCTCTCTCTTACATTTTTTTTTCTACGTACAGAATTCCTCTGTTTGGTGAATTCACATGCCAGAATGCTGTGATGGCTGAGCGGTTCATTGAAGCAGGTAGCGCGTAGGTATCCAAGAAAGCATCTTATATTTTATGATGCCATCAATATTTCCCCTGGATCTAAGAACTGCGATACTCTAGTCTGCTGTCTTTGCTAAAGAATCATATTGTGCTTTACAAGATTGCTTATTACAGCTTACATGGTTACCATGTCAGACACTTGTTAAGGTTTTCAAAAGAACTTAGCTGGTGCACTTTTTTCAACAGTTCATGGGGGCTTTAAGAAGGCTTTTAGAATAAGTGCAATGCCACTATTCGACATTGTAACAGAGATACCTTAGTTAGCTCTGGCCAGAAAGATTAGTTAGACTTACTTCGCCTCGAAGTAGAATAACTGCACTTGTGATTTTTTAATGGACATATAGAGATCCAATTCTAAGTACAAGCATATGTGTATGAAATGTGGAAACAACCGACTGGACGAATGTCCTCTTAAAATGCAGTTGCATAAACAGCATCCTCATACTTTAGTTCCTCTGTGTCTGAAAATTCATGAAGTACCATAAAATTCTCTCTTTTGTATATTTAAGCTGACAAATTAATATCTTGTCTTGCAGTTATGCTCTGAAGGTAGAAAAGGCAGATGTCTACCGGCTACCATATTTGTCAAGCGGTGGACCTGGATTTGGTTTGTAACTTGTTTCTTTTTTGCAATACTCTGATGAAAGTTCTCAAAATCCTGGAAAAAAACTGAGTTTTTAAGAAATGATATAATCTTTTGCGCCAAGGTCCGTATTCTGCCATCATATTGACATTTCTGCAAGAGACATTGTCTCACTCATGTTATATGAATACAAAACATCAGTTCTAAACTCTCTGTCATTTGATTGACGGGAGATATGGATGTATCTCAAATTCCAAGTAACATAAAAAAAAAGTTGATAGAATAATTAAAGTTAAAGAGTATTTAGTCATCAAGTTGGTAAATTTATGAATGCCTGTACTAGTAGCCAATGCAGCAGGCATAATTCTAATTTTTAAGCCTAAAGTCTCTTTTCTTTCACTTTGACAAGCCTTGCTTGAAGCTGCAAGAAAAGCTAACTTCCAGGAAACAGCAACTCAAATTGCTTCTGGCTTTTCGTCTGGGAGGTATGATGTTCTCTATCCTCTGGCCTATATTTTCTCCTCAGAGGCTACTATGCAGCAACTCAGTATAAAATCTCTTGCTGCTAAACTTCTCTGTCTTCGTATCTTCTCGCATATTTTTCTATGCCAAGACTTCGTTATGAGAAATCTTCTATATTCACTACTGCTGCATTGGTAGAACGTAGTGTTGAGATAAAAAAAAATTGCCGGGCAGTTTCCATTGTTCCATCTGAGATTACCTTTTTTCTCTGCTTATATTGCTATCTTTTTCCCACTCATAGCTGGGATAAACCCATATTGCTCGCATGGGGTATATCAGACAAGTATCTGCCGCAATCAGTGGCCGAGGAATTCCAGAAAGGAAACCCTTTGATGATCAAACTTAAGTTGATAGAGGGTGCAGGTCATATGCCACAAGAAGACTGGTGGGCTTCTCCGAGTTCTCAAGGCAATTTTAGCCTTAGCCGATTGTCTTTCTATGTTTAGTTTTGACAGTTGCCATGTTCTCAGGCCTGAAAGAGTCGTGGAAGCTTTGAGGATGTTCTTGCTATGAAGATATTCTGTCCTGATTGTCTTCCCTGTTAAAGCTTTTGCTATTCTTAAAGGTAAGTAGCTATTTCCAAGACCTGTGCTGGAAATTGCATAATATTCAGAAGTTCATTGAATCTCTGAGATATGCTTTTGTCACCACTGAAAGGAACCATCCAACATGCCCAGTGGTAAATAGACAGATTGTATAACAGTGCAAAAACTGTATGGGAATTTTTTTTTAGTGGAACCAGTATAATTTTTAATTTTATCTTGACATGTGATTGGCGTAGTCTATAAGATTAAGTTGTTGCACATCGTCTTGGTAAACAACACACATTAATTGACTGTTGGTATATGTGGAGAATGCAGGACATTGGTCAGTGAACAGCCAAATCAGATTTATTTCCAGAAGCGATTCTGAAGTTCCAATACTCGACAAATATCCATCCTTAAGTAGTCGTACAGCGTGGATCTCAGGAAATCACGAAAGGGTGTGGCAGATTATTCATTCAACTCAGTCTCATGGCATAATTATGATACAGTGACTGCTGAATTGCTTGAAAAACGCATGCTTCAGAACCTGTATTATATGCATCATATCTCGTTTAGTAGAGAATATATCTACTTTAGGACGAATAGGATCTCATAATCTTTCGAAAAGTCGCATTTGCAGTGAGAAGCATGAAATATGTGTTAGCACTCACAGTAAACCGATTTCTCAACACCGAAAAGTACAAAAGCCATTCTGTACAAAAAAAAGCGCACAAGACGCAAGAATCCAAAAGACTACTGCCAACTCTTTCTGACAGCTAAAGAACATGATAATCTCAATCAACCTGCCAAAAATAGCAAAAGAACCATCGTATTTGAAACTTGAACAAATTTAAAGAATTGGAGAATTTTCTTTTCCCGAATCAGTTAGCAAACTCAAACAAGTTCCTCAACATATCAATCTCTGCTGTGATGATCTTCATGGCAGCAGAGAGTGCAATGTTTTGTCAATTCAAAGTGCTGAATAGATGACATTTCAAAACTTGTACAATCGTGAATTGTAGGAAAATTTCATACAAGTCTTATAAAACGTGATGCAGTTACCATTAGTTTCTCAAACACAGGAGAGTAAGAGATGGTATACGATTCAGAATTTCAAACTCTAGCTAAGAAGAGTAGTATAAACAGGCGGTGTCAATTGTCCACATGAATCAATCGACCCGAACGATCTCTTATTAAAGTGAAGAAGAGCATGAGCTGTGACGCTCAGAACACGGAGACACAAAAGCTGAACAGTAATGTTAATTACATGGAGCTTTAGAGAGAAAGATCAGCCAGATCGAATGTCCTCGAGACAGCTTTGCACCAAGAATCCACCTTCTTCTTCCTCAGCTCCTCATCTAATTTAGGATGAAAAGTAGTTGCGTTACTGCTCCTTGCTCCAGTATCGAAAATTTCATCCTCAGTCCATACACCGACGGCTAATCCAGCAGCATACGCTGCTCCAAGGGCAGTTGTCTCTATGTCAACTGGTCTCACAACTGGGTTTCCCAATAGATCCGCCTAAAAAGCACAGAAAACAACACTTAGTATAATAGATATCTTCAATAATACCTAGGACATAAAGAATTTAACTGCGCTTTTGTTCGTTTGGTTGGTCCACTAATTGTCCTTTTTGGGAGGTGATGGGGGTGTGGTACTGGGGTTTGGGTAGGACTTGTTTACCAACCACCTAATCTAACAGAATCTATTCAAGTAGTTCTTCTGAATCAAGGGCTAAGGAGAGAATGCCTAAACCGAGCTGGAGCAAAACAAATTCTTCACACATAAAGCAACACAAGAAATTGTACTGTGAAGCTGCCTCAACAATTTCATGGCACTGGTTTGTTTATATCTATAGATCCCGTGATATAATATGACCTAAAATTTTGACATCAAGAAGCAAATATCCCCAGTTGATTCATACGTAAACAAATAATGGAGCGCAAGTCATGAACATGACAACAGACATGGAAAGCTCATTACCTGGATCTGCATCAAGAGGTTATTGACAGTGGCACCTCCGTCCACTCTTAGCAAGAATTCCCCTTTCTCGTTCTTAACCTCGCCCTTCTCTCCTGCATCTTTGTGCATGGAGTCCAACACATCCTTCACTTGAAAAGCCATACTCTCCAGCACAGCTCGAGCAATGTGAGCCTTGTTTGTAAACCTTGTTATCCCGATGCAAACCCCACGAGCATCATCACGCCACCACGGAGCAAAAAGTCCGTTAAAAGCAGGCACAAAGTATATCCCTCCGGTGGAGTCAACCTGTAATGCTAACTTCTCGATCTCGCTGGCGGAACTGATTATCCCAAGACTGTCTCTGAGCCACTGAACAGCAGCTCCAGCAATCGCAATAGAACCTTCAAGGGCATAGTTTGTTGGCGCATTTGGTCCGAGCTTAAAGGCCAAAGTGCTCAGAAGGCCATGAGTTGAATGAATCATCTCCTCGCCGGTGTTAAGAAGAATGAAAGCTCCAGTCCCGTATGTGCTTTTGGCCTCGCCCTTTCTACATGCTTGTCCCACCATGGCAGCATGTTGATCGCCGAGGCATCCCGAAATTCGAACTCCGGTAATTGGCCATCCCTTGGCTATTTTGCCGATTATTTCAGAATTGCTGATAATTCTGGGGAGAATCTCTGGAGGAATTCCCAGAGTATCTAATGTGGGCTTATCCCACTCAAGAGTTTTGAGATTCATTAGCATAGTTCTAGACGCATTCGATACATCAGTAACATGTAAACCACCGGTGGTTCCTCCAGTTAGATTCCATATTAACCAGGTGTCTATGGTTCCAAACAAAGCATCCCCTTTCTTAATGGCCTCCTTAACAGCAGCGACATTTTCCATCAACCACAGAAGCTTAATAGCGCTGAAATATGTACTAATGGGCAGTCCACAGGTCTCGACAAAATGGGTCCTACCCCCGGGCAGTTCTTTCTCCAATTTTCTATAAGTAAATTCAAACGCATATCAAAACCGTGTGATTCCCGACAAAAAAACAAAAACAAAAACGAGAAGCGCAAAACAGTTAGGAGTGCCTTTGGCCGTTGATGATGTCGAACTTCCGATGAGTCCCAAGGATAGTCCAATTTTACAACGACAGGACCAAAAACTAGCCGAATATGAAAGAAAGGGTTACCTGCAAATAGAGCTAGTACGAGCATCCATCCAAACAATGGCATTGTAAAGAGGGCGACCGGTGGATTTGCTCCAAACAAGAGCAGTCTCTCTCTGATTAGTCAACCCAACGGCTTTCAGTCCACCATCCACGTTGTGGCCGTCAGCCGTGGCCTTGTCTAGAGCCTTGGTCGTACATTCCCTCACGCTCTCCAGAATCTCCATCGGATCGTGCTCCACCCATCTTGAAACCAACACGCAAAGCACGTAATTTACACTCTGGGCATGCTTAAAGATGAGTTAAGAAGGGCAAGTTCTCTTCTTTTTATCAAACACACGACAACCATCATCGCGTTCTCTTACTCGAACCATTTCCACGACACAATCTCAAACAGACACGGATAAAATGTACAAGCTCACAAATTTGGAACGTTTAGAGAGAGAGAGAGAGAGGGGGTACCCGGCTTGAGGGCAGAACTGAGTGAACTCGACCTGGTGAGATCCGATCGCACGAGCGGTCCGGTCGTAGATGATGAACCGGGTGCTCGTGGTCCCTTGATCGATCGAACCCACATAAACTCCCCCACCCGACATTGCCTTTCGCTCGTCCTTTGCCCGGTTGCTCGCGAGAGAGAAAGAGAACAGAGCACGCGCGTGAAAGAGAAGTCAAAGACGAGACACCAAAAATTGAACAGAAGCGGTGCTTAATAGAGTGAGAGTTACGGGAGTCAGCGATGCAGATACGAAAGAAGATCCAGATAACAGCTGCGAAGCCGGAGAATTTGTATCTTATATAGATAGCAAGAAGCAATCTTGGGAATCGTTGGCCGGCTTTATCCAGTCATTTTTGGCATGGGCGTTGCAAAAAAAGAAATCTTCCCAACAAATTCGATCCAAATCATTCAATGTTTCATTGCTGTCGCTGTCTTATCCGTTTCAACGGCGGTGTTATCTGGGTTCTTTTTAGCGATAAATTTTAATGGATATGCTTCGAAAGCGGAGTCAACCCATCACGTGGATGACGACCATTCGTCCAAGACGATCGAGGTTGGGAACTCCGTCGATCTCAATCCCGATATTTTCGGGGCGTCGCGATAAAGACGTGACGAAGCATAAAATGGGGATCGGCAATCGTCGTCGACGTCGAGCGAGACGACGTTGTCCCACCGTTCTTGGGCGGGAAGATACGAGGATGTGCCATCAATGGACGGACCAGCCTCCACGTGGGCGTGTCTGATTGGCTGATATTGTTGACGGGCGGTGTAGTCAGTGTGACTTTTACATTGAGCAAGTGACTTTAGAGAGCTCCAATTTTAATCCCGTGCGATCCGTGACCCTGAGCCTTATCCGACCGTTCCTTTTGTTCTGAATTTTGCATTATTAAATTATGTGAATCTCGATATAAGTTTGATTTAATCATTTCAGTAACAAAACAATTTAGCTCATCCATCTATAGACCTGTTAAATGGGTGGGTAAGGTCGGATTTGGGTCGGGTCATAAATGGTCCGACCCAAATTGACCCATTAATCCGTTTATGACCCATTTATGCGCAATGCAATTTTCTTGACCCATACCCGACCCGATCTATACCCAACACATACCCGATCAGACCCATATTGCTAAAATACCTCAATATTTAATTGAATCTAGGAAAATTCATACCCAAACTGAGATGAGAGTGCGAAGTGAGTGACCGCAAAATTAAGTAAGGGCGAGAGAGACGAATTGAGTTTAAATCAGTTATAAACTCATTTATGACCCATTTACAACCCATTTATGATCCATTAAACACTAATATTAAACTTCTACCCATTTATGACCAATTTACTAAATATAACTAACTCATTTATGACCCATCTACTAATATATGGGTTGAGTAATGGGTTTATGACCCATTTTGACAGGTCTATCCATCTAGTTAGCAACACACATGCATGATTAGTTAATCTTTTTATATGTTAAAGTAACTTTCAAATATGTATTAGCGATTCAAGGCATTGTTTGTTTCGCGAAAATCGAATGTCTTGACTAAAAATGATCGTCTGAATCACATACAAAAAATGAACGGACGAATTAAATTTTCATCATTCTCGAAAATATCGAGATATAAATTATTGTTGATAATGATCACATTTCTGGTTGTTTAATTATTTCGACCGATGCCAGCAATCGTTTTAGAAAAAAAAAAACTCAAATCATTTCCGTTATCACAAAACAAGCGGAGGTCAAGTATAATTAGACATTTCTGGATTCCGTTTAAAGGGTCAATCTATGTTGGAATTGCCGTGAGTCTGAAGAGTTCCAAAGTGAATCTGACAGTCTCGTCATTGGACGTCACACGTTTGAAAAGTCAGAACCACTTCGACAAAGATGACCCCAAACGCTACCAAAAACAAAGAAGCTGCTTCAACTACCAAGGCAACGAATAACAAATGAACAATTTATTTTATTAACGTTTTCGAGTTAGAAGCTGATAAACGACCTCACCCGATGCCGCCCGACTTTGTTTGATACTTGATGATGCTATTTACAAGTTCTTTCAGAAAAAAAAAAAAACAAAAAGATAGATTTTGGGTTACTACTACCTAAGCACTGTTGTGCAAACTCCACTACATATGCCAATTCATTTGGTATAAACTTTTTATCATTTCAACTTATTTTCCGAACATCGATTCGGCTCGACTTTCATCACGACATTCTGCCCTCAAACTATGTACCGAGATCCACGTGATCTAACGGTCATCTGAACTTACCGAGCGGGATGTGGCGGAAGGAGGAGGAAACGAAGTATGCAGAACAAGAGAATGAATCTTTTTTGAGGAGACAAGAATGCAACGTTAGGCCTAGGCCACGAAGAAGGCCCAGGACCAGGAAACAGAGTCTATCTGGCCCATGACCATGGTCATGACCAACCCTTTAATAGGAGGAGATCATTAGGTGCAGGGGTGGGGTGAAGATGTCTCTTTCCTATGATTGAATATTAAATTGCTGCAGATGGTCAGACAGTGTGTGCTTCTAGGGGAACGCAGAGATGGCAATGATGCTCAATTTGCCGTTCCAGAACAATGTCTTCGTGCCACTTCTGTTACTTTCCAGGGACCAAGGGAGGAGAATCTCATTATCACTGTAATTGATCGTGGGTGAAAAACCAAAGTCGGGTGAATAAATGGAGGGAGGATGGTTTGTCAGCAGTGCCTTTTCATGATATGCATTGAGTAATGCTGCTCTCAACATGGCAAATTCAAATGAAAGAAGGTTGGGTTATGATGACATTCTCTAGAAGCTAGTGTAGATGTATCCACTATCGAGAGATGGTTCTGATATCTAGCTGGTGGAAATTATAATATATTGAAGAAATGGGATTGGTGTGATGACAAGGCAGGCAATGGTGCAACATAAGCAAGGTCTTTCTTTTTTTACGACTTAGAAAACTTTTCTTTTTACTAATGTAGAACTTTGAATATAGGCTGGTCGGACTTTGCATCGAAAATGAGAAGCCTATCTTCTATCCCACGAGAAGTTGGATTTATTCAAGCATGGAAACTAGGTCACATATGTTTCAAGTATGACGATCATGACCCAATATCTGATAATTACCAAAGCATATGACTCTATAAAAAAAGTAGAGTGAAGGACTCGCTCATCTCTTAACTTTTTTTACAAGATATTTAATCAAGTCCTTTCTTTGTTCGATTGTTTTTTGTTTTTTTATTGTCGGTCATTCTGTTGAAAAACTAAAGGAAAATTCCGACATGATTGTTTAAGTGCTATGCCGGCATCATAAGTCACATCCTTCGGTAGAAACCTTCACAAAATAAGGAGAAAAATTTGAAAACACGTAAACAGAAAAGGAAAATTGAAGAAAGAAGAGGGAGGGGAAGCTACGACAAGCGCTGCGGCTTGTGCACAACAAGGATCCGACATCTCACTTCTCTCGATGTGCATGTGTGTCTGTGAGTGCTTGCACACGAGCGAGTGTCGTTCATGCTTGGGCAAAGGCCAAGATCCTCTTCGGCCAATTCACAATTTGTGATATCGAAAACTGACCCATTTGATCTTGAAATTGGTAGAGATTGGATCATTAGGCTGAGCGCAAGATGACAAGGTTTGCAACCTCACTCTGCCGAGCTCGCAAGTTGGCATGGTACGGACCCCCCCTCTCTCTTTCTCTCTCTTTTTTTTTCGATTTGAAGTTTTCTTTTGCTTTTTCTTTATTGCACCTAACAATTTATCTATTCACAATTCTTGTGGCACCTGCTTGGTATTCCCCGCCAGCATTTTCTTTTGAGAAAATTTCAATTTGATATCCAAAATAAGGTCATTTTCTCAAAAAGGGGTTTAAAGTGGACAAAGCGTCAAATAAAGAACTAAAGTGTTCAATCAGTCTCAAATAGGAGCCCGAAGTGCCCAATTAGTCTCAAATAAGAACCTGAGTTTGCCGGCCGGTTAAATGCTCACCGGCCGGCGAGCACGTCACTGTTCCGGCGATCGAAACATGGGCAATTTCGTCTTTTCCTCTTTTTTCACTTTCCCTTTTCCTTTTCTTCTTCTTCTTTTTTTCTCTTTTCCCTCTGCCGGCCATAGCCGGGGCTGGCGGAGGTGGCCGGCCTCAGGCGGAGGCCGCCCTCGCCTGGGCTGGGCGGGCGAGGGCGACCCTCGCAAGATCCGGCAAGGGCGGCCCTCGCCGGCGTCGGGTGAGGGCGACCCTCGCGCGCCCAACCCAGGCGAGGGCGGCCCTCGCTCAATGCCGGCGAGGGCCGCCCAGCCTGGGAGAGGACCGCCCTCGCCTAGGCTGGGCGCGCGAGGGTTGCCCTCGCTCGAAGCCGGCGAGGGCGGCCTTCGCATGAGGCCGGCAGAGGGAAAAGAGAAAAAAAAAAAAGAAGAAGAAGAAAAGGAAAAGGAAAAGAGAAAAGAAAAAAAAAAGTAAAAGACGAAATTGTCCCTATTCCGATCGCAGCCAACTGGTTCGTCTAGGCTTTAGCTCGATCCACAAGGGCCAAGCGCATCTTTGGCGTAGGCTTAGCAGGGGCATAAAATTATAGGACCCGGCCGGGCCAAACTGATTAGGACTGATCGAAGCTTGGCTAACACTGAAAAGTGTTACATATGTTTTTTGGCGATGGGCAAGTCGGAGCTACAATTGAGTCCTCTTGTTGATCGCCTCAAATTGCAAAGTGCGGTAGCATTGTTTGGACGAGTCATATCGAAGGATTACCATCGGAGGTTGGGCCAGATGAGATATAGAATAGAAAAATTCATACCCGTGAGCCCGATGCACTCTGACCTCTTAAATTAGGGCCTCCTTGGATTATCGGCATTCGGTTAAGAGGTAACTTCACCAAGGAAGGGAGCCTCCATGGCCTATCCCCATCTTGCGGGACGGGCTGCACGAATGCATTACTTATTTTAATATTTTAGTACCCGCACATTTCGCGCCTCTGATTTTCATGTATCTTATTCTTCCTTAGACAAAGTGAATTACTACTCAAGGTTTTACATTTCAGAGATTCCGAAATCCGATTAAGGCGTGAGACGAAACCTTTTAAGGATATATTTACGTCCGATCAGCTGAAATCCCAATGCATCCTAACTTTCGATGTTGATAGGTTTTATATGAAATCTATATGATTTAAGGACTCGGATGCACTGAGCTCACGCTACGTGCGGCAACGGTGAAAGCCAGCTGGAAGTTCGGAGTTGAGCGGGAGCCGATCCAAAGGGGGTGGGGGGACCACCGGACCAACCTAGAGAGGTGAGGCCCGCAGCACCACACCACCTTTTATGCAATTTCTTGCAGTTGCACCATCCGTTGTCTCTACTCCTTCGAGACGAAGCAGACAACTGCAGCCATTTCGCTAGCTTCCAGAACACAGATTGCGCCAAACCCTAC